GCATGGGAAGGCTCCACCTCGTGAGTCGGAAGTTGAAACTCGACACGATTGTAGGTTGCATGGCAGGATTACAGGATGGGCGATACGTACATTCCTTAGGACGCTATATCTCGCAGCAAATCGTCAATTGCGGAGGTCCAAGGAGAAACGCAAGCTGAGGATCGCGCAGGCTTCCCTCCTTTGTCATGAACATTCGCTAGGTGGGTCCGACAATGACAAAAGCAAGCAGATTGACACCATGGTGCTCGATGTAAGCAGTCAAGCGAGCGACGCTTCTTAGACGCTTGACGCGTGCAGCTCGGCAATACACGTGCCGTCGCCGACTGCAGAGGCGCCAGGTTGTGTTCGTTCGTTTGCACGTCGCACAGCAAGGTCACGAGATGAAACTGAGTATCCTCGGCGTCGAGGCCATGTCATGCATTATACAAAGCCCCGAACAGCAGAAATCATATACACTATCACAGGTCGCAAACGAGTAGGGTAAGAGACACGTTCCTTCACAACGAGATGGGAAGCCGCGTCCGCGGCACAGGCAAGCTGGACTCGAGATGTCAGGGTCAACTTCACGTCCGGCAAATGTCTTGGCTGGTCAGGGAGTGGCTCCCGCGAGCGCGTCATATTGACGTGCGCATCCTGCCCGCCTCAGGAGCGTGACGTCGCCCGCACTCCCGACGTTGGCCCATGCCGTCCGCTGCGCATCGCCGTCTGCCCCGTCCTTGCAAGCCTTGAGAGTCGGAGTACACAGGGGAGGTGCGTATCGTGTTGTATAGTAGATCGTCTGTGTGGTGAACGTATAAGCGCAGAACAAAACAAAGGAAAAAGAAGAGCGACTGGGGTGGCGTCGCCGTGGGACGCGCATCTTCCGCGCCGTTGTCTTGCTATTCCGGCTATGAGACGCGCGAGAGCGCAGAACCTACAACAAACAAGGCACTGAAATGGTCAGTAATCATGTTGCTAGTCTCTCCGGGTGCACCAGAGGTAGCAACCCCACCCCGATGACGCCGTTACCCGGACTGACAGACTCGCTGGCAACTAGGCCATACGGAGCGCAGCCGGAACGTTCGGTATACGGTGTCCAGAGCATTGTCTCTTGCGAGCAAGCCTGCAAATCGATAAGAGAGGGCGCGCTTGTATACAAACGACGCAACTCACCTGAAGGACGAGCGCAACCGCCGTTTCTCCTCGCCGCCGCCGAATGCGACCTGTGAGCCTCCTTGGACATTCCTGTGCAATACAATATATTCCGTCAATGGTGCCGCTAGTCTCGTCCGAGGGTGCCCCCGTGAGAGAGCAGTGACCTCCACCCCGCGACGCCCTTACCCAGGCCGCATTCAGCCTGGAACGTGCCATTGGGTGTCTGACGCATCGCCCGCTTAGGGAGATACCTGCAATCACCATCAGCGAGTGCATAAATGACTAGCAGGGAGAACGTACCCAGAGAACGAGCGCGACCACTGTCAGCACTCCGCAGCTTGTGCAGCAGCCCTGTTGTGGGGATGCCGTCCACATGCTGTGTCGACAATCTCATCTGGACACCCCGAGGGTAACGTCCCCACCAGCACGCCGTTACCCGGACTGACAGCAGCCGGAACGCGCTATATTGGTGCTGATAGCATTGCCACATGAGGGCAAGCCTGTAGCGATGGTGAGGCGCGACAGAAGACAGGATATAAGGGCAACTTACTAAAAGGATGAGCGCGACTGTGATTGCGACCATCGAACGCAGGTGCATACACCGTTGTCGACAGTCGTTGACGATCTTCATAGTGTGTTTGACACGCCCATGGCGATGGTCCCATTGGGTGACCAACGCGTGCAAGATGGGCGTCCAGGGGCATGCTCGTAGGCAACGACTAGAGGCCAATGTCATACCGAGATGAGATACGAACAGCCAGCGACCCGGTAGGACTCACCTTAAGGCGAGCATGCATAAGCATTGATCTTGAGGCACACAATATGCCATGCAACGTTGCAGCATGGTAAGTGACTTCTTACAGGAATATGTGCATTGTTACCGACTGCCGAGCGCTGAAGGATAAACACGATAGTCAGATGCCATGTGAGGACAACAGCAAATACCAATGAGCTTACCTGCACCCACAGAGTATCGATGCATATACGCGGGATGTTCATACATCACGACGACAAAGGGGATATGAAGGCATAGCAGGTCAGTATACTGACAGAAGAGAGTGCGCACCTTAAGTTGTAGGTGGCAGACGCCTATGTGGCACAAAGGATCTTTCGCAGCAGGAAGGGGCCACCGTGTAGCGATATACGACGTCTATTGCCTAATGATGCCGATGTGTGGCGCCGACGACGAACAGGGCACAATGGGAACGCATAGGCAATCAGAGATTGAATGGTACACAACGCTTTGTAGTACTCACGAATCTGCGTGGGTCGGTATGAGACGGGCCAATGTGTGGCGACATGGCGGAGCGAC